GCAGCAAACCTACAAGGTCTTAAAGGGGGGTCAATTGACTGTCCTTCGTAAAAAGATTATTCTGCGTATATAGGTAAAATATTAGATTTTAGAGGTATATAACATATATTGACCACCCTTTGTCCGGTAATTTTTCACTTCTTTCAAGTTTGAAGCGCACTTTGTGAAATTCCTGGCTTCACCGGTGGCAGCAAACAAACAAATCGAGTAACAACCGTCCAATTATATAGATATACAAAATATAGTAAACATGAGCCCCTCTTCCCACCGTCTGAATCAGAACCAAAAAAAAAAAAAACTCACACTAAAAATAAGCTACTAATTCAAGGATCAATACCCACTGATTATACCATATTAAAGATTTAATCAGTCAAAATGTAAAAGAAAAAGTATAACTGACATTCAAAATTCCAGTAGTTACAGGCAAGTCAACAAAAGAAAATGGGGAAGGAGATTACTGTAATTCGAGAATAACCGAAGGATCAAAGTAAAGTCCAAAGATAGAAATTGGTGCCCAAATCCGTGGAATCTGGCATTCCGGAGACGAAGGATTGCAAAGATCAACATTATTGAGCATTTGCATTTTTAAGCAGTCCAGTTTGTAGAGATAGCGACGGTTTGGTAGTAACTACATTCAATATTCTATCACACTGGCACCCAACTAATTCGTAGGACCTATTAAAGAGTGAAGCCTACGTATGAAGATATTTTCCGTGGGAAGTACACAAATAGCCATTTTTAGTTTAGAGATTAGCCGCTACTTATTTTGTCCCAAAATTTTAAATTAAAATTTAAAAACTGGAATTCAAGATACACTAGCTAAGTTTTAAATAGCAATCCTCTAGAATGGCTAACTGGTGTCATTTCTACCTAAGCAAACAGGGCGAAATGCACAAGTAGCCACTTTTAAGCCAGCTATTCAAATTATATTCACAATTTACGATGTTTAAAAATTCAATCAAACTTCAGGACTAAGTATCTTAAATTTTTGAGCTGCTATTTTGAAATTCAGGATATGGTGTCCTAAACTTTTGAGCTGCTAATTTGAAATTCAGGTTTAAGTGTCCTGAATTTAGGAACTGCTAATTTAAAATTCAGGACATAAGATTCGAATTTATGGACACAATTTTCGAACACAATATCCTAACTTTGAGCAAATTGACCAATATTGTAAATTATTGATATATATTAAATAGTATGCTTAAAAGTGGCTACGTGTTATCATTTCCACAAGCACACAGCTTTACAGGGTAAAATTCAAAAATAGCCAGATTTACAAGTGGTCGTTCAAAAATAGTACAGTTTCAAAAGTAATCGAAATTTAATCACTTTTCCTGTAAAGATAAATCTGAGCGAAAACACTGTTCAAAACCCGGAAAATACGCTAGTATATTCCAGCATAATTTACTTGAACTCCAGCATATTATACTGGAGTTCCAGGATAAGTATGCTGGAATTCCAGCATAATATGATGGAGTTCTGACATAAGTACACTAGAACTTCAGCATAATATACTGGAGTTCCAGCAAAGTATATCGGTCCAGTATAATATGCTGGAAGTTCATACACAGGTGTACCGAACTCCATTATATTATGCTGGACCGGTCTCTGTTGCAGCAAAATAATGGTTATTTTTTATTGATTTGATAAACGCTGACTATTTTTGAGTGATCAGTCCGAAAACTGGCTAGACCATGTTATTTTTACAGCTTTACACCCGAAGCCCAAAGTTTCTTAGATACGGAGCCGATCCAACCGTTGCAAGCGCTCCTCCTCCACACGTACGAAGCGAAGAAGTCACCTACCGGTCAGAGAAGTGACTCGCACTGTGCGCGTGGAGCAAAGAATTGCAGACAGACAGCTGAAATTGGTAGGAGGAAACGGATACGGATTTCCACTACTCCACGGCAGCTGCTTCATCATCACCTATAGTAGGTTAATTTAATTATCCTACCTTTTCCGCCCTATCCTACTGAATCTTCTGTTACTGTTTTCGGTCCCCGGCCGTTGACAGTCTTTACCTATGTCTTCCGACGCTGACTTATCTGACAATGATCGGAAACCTAAGATTGGCCCTAGCTCCAACTCTATTGATCAGTCCTTGGACGCCATCGAGAATCAATTATCCTCAATTTCAGTCAGTCAACCCGAATCCGAACCCGAATTCAACGATGCCATTGATATTTCTCCATCCAATCAGGATAAGCTCGCGAATGGATCGTTGAGCGAGAATCCCGGAGCTGAAGAGCTGCCTCGTAGCAATGTGGTGGAGGACTTTAGCTCTTCGAGTGTCATGTGGAGGAACAATTCGGAAGAAATGGAGGCGCCGTCAAGTCCTAGTAGTAGTGGCTATGCGGGTGAAAGAGGGAGTAGTAACGCCAGTAGTAGGGCCTCTGGCATTGAGGAGGAGGTCGATGGTGAGATTCTCGAAATTGGGAATAGTGATTCTTTTGACGGAGTTTCCGACTCTCAAGTGCAATGGCTTCCTGGGAAACGCCACGGCAGTGAGGTCAGTCCAACAGAAGCTACCGAGAATGTTTAGCTCTAAATAGTAGTTGTGGCTAGTTTAGCAAATCCTACAGTGTTATAACTTGAGAAGAATTTTGGTAAATGTTAGCTTATGCAATCAGGGGATTTTTGATTCTTGATAGTAAGGTCAGACTGAGGACAACTTGTAGGCTGCAATAAGGTCAAATTGAGGACCACTTGTAGGCCGAAATTGGGTTTTAGATGGCATGAACTGAGATTAAGTAGTGCTTGTGGTAGCAATTATGGTTTACTCCTTCTGCCCCAATTTATGTTAGGGTGTTTGAATAGTCACAAAGGATAGCCATAAAAATTTATGTGGCTATAGATCACCTCGTTAAGAGTAAAAAGAGAAGTTTAAAGTTAAATTGTTTACGAGTGTAGAAAAGTTTCATTCTTATCTGGATAGACTAAAAAGGAAAGAGTGTTACATAAATTTGGACAGAGTATAAGTTTACAACTTTTTATATTTTCTCCTAATATATACAGTCTAGTAATCAAGACTTCCGGCTGCATTTTCATCAGTTTGAACTCTCGCTTAGCGGTGAAATTTATGATTCTTTGTCTTGTTTAGAATTGTTAAAAGACTAGTCCAGGTATTTTTAAGAGCTTGTCTCTATGGCAAAGACAATAAAAAATATATTTTATACTGTTATATCGCAAAAAATATGTTGGTGAAACTAATTTACATGCAGACAACTAAAAGTGATTCTTTAGTAACATCACAGGGGAAGTAAAGGAGACTATCCACTGTTGATATGCTTCATGTTTATCTTTTGACTTTTTTGATTGATGAAGTGCAGGATGATGCTTCTATTTCCTGGAGAAAAAGAAAGAAGCACTTCTTTGTCTTGAGTAACTCAGGAAAACCGATATACTCAAGGTCAGTGTTGAAGCCCCCCC